CCACCCACCCGCCCACTGCCGCCCTCCTTCTCCTCGTCCGCCCCCCCTCCCCCACAACCCGGCCAGGGTGCTCTCCCCCGCCTCAATGGGACCAGCAGGACAGAGGATACAAGACGGGTCCCCACATCAGGACAGGGACCGAGATAATCAAGGGTCAGGCAAAAGGGAGAGAGGGCTTAGGACTCAGGGGATTAAGGGCTCCAACAGCTGGGGTCAGGGGTCAGGGTTCAGGCTTTTGGGGGATCTAAGGGTTTGAGAGCATCACGGGCAAGGTGTCAGGGATAAGATAAGACAATGCACGGACAGGCAGTGGGGGACTAGTTAAAACTGCACACCCAACATCTCTTCTCAGATACAGAAGTCACTGGCACGTGGGGATATCTACACCTTTGTTCTCATTTGCTTCTCCATCCKGCCACACACACACATGCACGCACACAGCATGCCTGTCCAAGGCACAAACATGCACAACAGGCGCCACAAAACATCATATGCACTGCATCTTGCAACTCACAACTCACAATCCACAACCTGAAAATCATGACAATTATACCTGCACAAGGCCGTAACATACACAGTATATACAACAGACAACTGCAAATGTCATATAGCTGGACAGTACACTTATAGTCATAGACACAAACAACATAAGACAACCTCTGGAAAAATAGAACTAAGACAACCAAGTCACCAAATAGATTACTATCGCAAAACATGTTTCTTTTCCACATTGTATTTCACAGGGACGCTGGACCCGATTTCCAGCAAGTGCTTCTCCCCACTAATAGATGGAGCCTCCCCGGAGCTGCTACAGGTGTTAAAAAAAAAAAAAAAAAAAAGGTAGGGTTTTTCTGAGGTATCCCTAGACTCTATGTGGTATCCTTTTTTTTTTTTTCCCAAATATCTTAGGGGGCCCCAAGTCACGAGAAGTCCATCACACACACAGAGCTAGTAGGTAGAAGGGGCTCTCAAGCTCACAGGGGAAGCATACACCACAATTATTAGGCACAATTATGGTGCACAACTGACCACAGGACAAATTTACAATGGGATGCTGGACATCTTACAATTTGCAAATGACAGACAACAGATAACAATAGGCTTAAGAAAAAAAAAAAAAAGATAACAATAGGATGCAAAAAATGAACACAGAGTATGTGGGGACACTGGAACCGATTTCCAGCAGACACACAAGATGTACAGGGAGCTGGGCCCCATTTCTGGCCGGTGCAGCTCCCCACCAATAGATGGAGCTTTCAATACTGGGACCCACTTAACGAGGCTGCACTAATCACCTCATCAAGTGGGCCTCCCTGCGTATGAAGTTGGGGGAAAAAAAATAGAAGAAAGAAAGGCATGGCCCCTGCACAAGGATGACCCACATTCTACGCTAGACCCGGTTTCAAGCAGGTGACGCTCCCCACCGATCGATGAAGCGGTCTGACAGCAACGCCCTCAATTCCAGTGGTTCTCTCACTGCCACCGGGATAGAGGGCTTGCATAAGACCCTTTCCAAAAAAATAGAAAAAACTTAAGAAAAAAAGGATGACCCACATTAATCTAGAAATGGTCCAAATTTCGATGGAAGAAAAGAAAAGTCCGTCGATTTTATTTATTTATTTATTTATTTATTTATTTTTGACAACTGCCAGGATGTGCTGTTAGCAGTGGTACAAGCCAGCATTCCAAAATAGAATGACCTTGACAGCACTAGCTAGCACTGATTGTCCCCTACCCTCTACACCCTAATAGAACACTCGCCGGTCATTATAGCTGTATTTGGCACAACTTTTAGCCAGATATGGGTAAAACGCCCGGTCATTATACCTGCATTTGGCACAACTTTCAGCCCAGATACGGCGATAATTACCGGGCGTTCTATTCGGGTGAAGAAGGTAGTGAAGATTGCACTCATGTGTACTATGCCGACCAGTTCGTAGTCAGTACATCTTCAACAGAGCAACAATCAGTGGTGGCCTTGGGGACATCCATTAAAATTGGAACCATACAGAGTGGATTAGCATGGCCCCTGGGCAAGGATGACACGCATAAATCGAGAAATGGTCCAAAAACAGCAACAACAACAACAACAACAACAACAACAACAACAACAATCAGTGGTGGATGTGCGGCGAAGTTTATTCAGTGAGGGAATGCTGGGCCTAGGTCGCCAGAGGGGTTGGTCCCAGGCTGGGCCCAGGCGGAGTGGTTGAAAACGGAAAAAAAAACGGAAAAAAAACTTCAGGGGTTGGTCCCAGCCGAATACCAGTGGGAAGGTCCCATTGGCAAAGAGGATTGGATAGAGCTCCTGAATCTGGACGTGCCTTATGCAGAGGTGCAGAGAAGCCGTTCAATCTCAAATTTCTGCACCTTTCCACGCACACGTCTAGATTCAAGCATCCAATCCAATCCAATCCAATCCAATCCTCTTTGCTAGTGGGACTTCGCGCCAGCAGCCGAGCAAAGAAGAGTAGACTTGAAAGTCTAGGGTTAGCAGCAGGCTACCCTTTCTTCGAAATGACAAAAAACTTGAGAAAGTGGAATGCAGAACAAAAATATGGGCAGTGGGCAGGGAATTTGGTGGAAACTAGGGCAATGAGCAAAGGGGAAATATTATGTGGATAGAAGCCAAGGAAATAAAGAAAGGGTACGGTACCCCTCTGCCGAACGAGAACACACAGGAGGCCTAGTGAGCACCTTTGTTTTGTTTTTTTGCCTTTCCTTTTCCTTTTCCTTTTCCTTTTCCTTTTCTCTCAAATTCCAGCTCATAAAAAAAAAAAAAAAAAAAAAAAATTCCAGCTCAGATGGTAACCGTTGAAATATAGAGGAACAAAAAACGGATGAAAAAAAAAAAAAAGAATAATACGGTTCTAAAAAACAATTAACAAATTCACAATGGACTGGCTTGGGGATGCAATGGGGGAAAGGTTGGGCCAGGTACTCTGGCCAGAGGGGAGGGGGGGATGAGCCGCCTTACAAAAAGGCATCATCACCTGATCTTTAATGATTGGATGGGCCTACCGCCTGATCCTGAACTTCGTCCTTTGGGTGGATTTTCCAGAATTCTCCCCATTTTTTTTTTATTTTTATTTTTTTTTGCAATTCAATCATGGTTCAGGGCAAGGTCTTCTACCCCTTGGGTGGTAAGAGCCCCAGAGGGTAGAAGCCCGCGAGGTTCCGATGGCTCCTTTCTATTGGTGGGGAGCTGCACCTGCTGGAAACCGGGTCCAGCGTCCCTTCCAAAGGATAAAGGATAAATCTCGATGAAACTCCTCACAGTTCAGAAACTTTCTGGGGCTAATCAGCAAATATGGGACCTTTTCACCCTAAGGCGCCTGAGAGGAGTTAGCCACTAGTCCCACTACCCACTGTACCCAAACTTGTAACAAGTCAATGACCAATTCTGAGGAACAGTAACTGCTGCAATTAGCTCAGCAACTGAAGACTAGCTAGTAGCCACTACATAATGAACAACCTAACCTGAGCAAGCCTATCCTTTTGGCAACTGCCTTTCATTCCATCCAAACACTGTCATGCAGGTCGGGGACCTCTCAGCCAAGGTTCAATAATCTCTGTGTTCAATGATTCTATGATGATTCTATGATCTCTCTCTCTCTCTCTCTCTCTCTCTCTCTCTCTCTCTCTCTCTCTCTCTCTCTCTCTCTCTCTCTCTCAAACACACACACAGTCACACACACACACCCACACCCACGCACACACACACACACCCACACCCACGCACACACACACACACACACATGCACACGTTTTCTCTCAGCACCAAGGAATTCTCCAATCCCGTCTCCTCCCCCGCCGGCTACGAGCTTTTTCCACACTGTTGTCTTTGCCCTCGTGCTCACTACATTTCATGTAGCCAGAACCTTTGAAACCCCCTCCCCTGTCTTCACTTCCCGTCTTATCCCAATGGACTGTACCGCCCAGTTCTGCGTTATGGTCGTCCTTTTCTTAATCGGATTCCCCAGTGTTCTAATTCCAACGACTCATATCACCATTATCCCCATCCTCCTCCTCCTCCTCATCATCATCATCACGATCACCATTTTGCCGTGATTCCAACGCTGTCAAAGATTCATTATCATCCTCATTATCGCCATGATCCCCAATCTTCAGAGTCCAACTATTCATACCACCATAATCCCCATCCTCCTCCTCCTCCTCATCATCATGGTTGCGATTGCCATTTTGAGCTGATTCCAACGATGCCAACGATTCATTATCACCATCATTATCGCCGTACCCAGACTTCAGATTTTCACCATCATTTTCGCCATCTCCAGTCTTCTGATTCCAACGACCCATATCCCCGTTATCTTCCTCGGCATGATTAACATCTTCATCATCATCATCATCATCATCATCATCATCATATTCATCATCATCATCATCATCAGCATCATCAGCATCATCAGCATTATCGTCATTATCATCCCCTGGATTGTGAGAATCATCCCGTCTATTCCGCAGAATCTGATCGACATCATTCGCTCTCCATAGTATTACCTCATCATCACCATTTTGTGGTCGATGGCACTGCCCTATCACACAGACCCATCTTAGTTCACACCCACAGTTCAAGCAACCTACGTTCAACTCCATCGGAATCCCGCCGTTTCTTCGAATTATCCTTATTCTGCCAGAATTCCTGGCTATCCGAAGAATTGGCGGTGGTTCCTCGCTGTTGCTGACTCTCACGTTGTTCTTGCAGAGCTCGCATGGAGATCTCGCCCTTGTTGTCTATAGGGTTCGATCACTCACCCTTCTGATTCTTCTCGAAGTTTAACGGCCGCTCCTTGCTCCCGCGGTTCACCGTGATCGTCGATCCCAAAGTCTCGAACTGCTGATCTTGGTGTTGAAGTAGAAGAGTGCCTCGAAGAAGAAACACAATTCACGTGGCTCTGCTACCCCTCCACTAGCTTTCCCGWTTTCTCGCTTCTCCAATCGGGACGCTGAAAAGGAAGACCAGCTCTCCTCACGCCAAAGTAGGAATCTCCCTTCGAAAAGGGACAGAAAGTAGAGTTTTCCACATCACTCCGTTCTGCAGGTATGTGCCTATTCCCACCGTAGATGCTCCCAACCCAACGGCTTGATAGGGATAGCCCGCCTGCAAGCTACACGGGAAAAACCTCACTAGCATTCTACTGTCTCGCTTCCCCCATAACACGATTCGGAAGAAGCGACAAGCTCCACTCACACCTACGAAAGATTCTCCTTCCGGAAAGGACAGAGTCGGGGGAAAGCTCCACCTAACTCCGCACTGCAAGCATGCAACTAAAGTTTGCTCGCCGTAGATGCTTCTAGCTCAACGGTCTGATAAGGAAATCGTGTCGGCAAGGCTACTAGGTACGTTAAACATAAGCTGTAAGCTCTATACGCCGTAGATACGGCCCAGCCCAGCCCCGCCCCGCCCCGTAGAGCCAGATGTCAAGCGTTAGGATAGGTCGTTCCGTACAATTCCATAAGAAGGGCGCCAACCTTCGGCGCTCTTCGCTTCGACGGTAGTTCAGTGTTGTTCAGGATTTCTATGAAACATTCGTTCAACTATTCAACAAAACCCCACTCCCTTACCTCTCCACCATACCTGCCCCTGCCCCGGACAAGCTCTGTCACTTGTTGCTCCGCCTCTCCAAGAGGCTGACCGCTGCGTGACTTGCCTCCCCCGTGCTGAGCGCGCCGGGGTATGGCGTGTGAACTCCGCGCACCTTGCAAACCCTAACGCTAACACACGCGCGTCACGAGGATTGAGCGCTTCGGCGCCGCCTCTCGCTTCGTCCAATCCAGGCCTCCCCAAAATCCCTGAATTCTTCCCATTTTCGTCATTGACTCTGGTGGATTTGGAGTGGTTCGGTTATGCCTAATGAGGAGGGGGGGGTAGCGATACTTAACTACGCTCATGTGATCCTTTTTTTTTTTTTTTTTTTTTTTTTAATGGTCATGTAATCGTGGGCATAGGACTACCTAGTAGTTCAGGAGGGAGTGTTTAAGTTGGAAAAAAAAAAAAAAAAGGCGCAGGAGGGTAGAGAGGCAAAGGTTTAAATGTTGGACCTGGCGGCCTGCATTGGATTGAAGATGCGGCCTACACCTCATTAGAACTGATGTACCTTTTGCATTACACATGTAATTAAAAGGGGATGCTGGATATCAGCACCACTAACACTGGCGGGGGGGGTGGGATTGTTAAAAAAAAAAAAAAAAAAAAAGGGGATGCTGGACCGTTCTCCAGAAAACAGCAATTTCATCAAAAGGGACATTTTTTAAATATTTTTTTGAACGAAATTGAAACTGGCTAATTCGGCCCAAATCCACCCCTCGAGCCAGGTTGAAATTTTGACAAAATTGAGGATCCGACGTTCTTAAAACGCTGTAGCCCCCAGACTCCAACTAAGTCCAGATACATCCAGGGGTCGGGCTTTCTTACAAGGCTGGACCCCCCAGACTCCAGCTAAGTCAAGATACATCCTAGGGCTGGGGGTCCGCCATTTTCAGAACACCAGTCTGAGGCCCTCAAGCGCTAAAAGTTTTGACCTGAATCGCCCTGTCGGTTTCAATTTCCTTCAAAAACTAAAAACGAAACGTCCGTTTTGACGAAATTGCAGTTCAGCAGGTGCCACTCCCCACCCATTGAATGGACCTCCAAGCCAAGATTTTTTTTTTTTTTTTTTTTTTTTTTTTTTTTTTTTTTTTGACGCCCATGTTGTTGTAGAGGCCGGGTATCAGGCGCGGGAGTACTCTCCACTCCTGTGAATTTCATTGAAATTGACATTGGGCTTCGCTGCACTGCGCTAGAC